AATAATTGTGGATAAATTACATTTACTGTCATATCATAAGTAATTCTTTCCCTTTCTACTTTTTGGATTTAACTGATGAATATGGGTTCCTACAGACTTGTATAAAGAGGATATAGAGATACTTGAACAAAGTAGGTACAGAAGGAACACAAACTCACAGGTAAAAACAACTAACGGTAATTTCAGAGCAAATAATTTTGTTTATTAAAAATTTTTGCAACAGTTTTTATGCAAAGATATGGCCCAGAAAACAAAGTGTGAAGGCTATAGAGAGAATCTAGAAGTCTGGAGACAGGGCATTTGTTTGCTTGGTTTTTTTTTTTTACAATATAAATGAAGGTGAATTCAGTTACTTTTCATTTAGTAGGTACTCAGTAAATGTGTTGAAGGAATGCTCAGATTAATATTGTGATACATATCTTTGAAAAAAAAGAAACAGCAAGTCTGTAAATACCATCTCTGCATAGTCTACCTGCTCTCCGTAAGCACTTTCAGATTTCCTCGTGCTATTTTCAACCATAGTATGTTGGTGGCTTGTAAGTGTGACAGTTTCCTAACCTCCAGATTCTTATACCCATATACCAATGTGTCTATTGAATATGTTCACTTTGACGTTCCAAATTTGGTATTCCAAAATGAAACGTTTAATTAATCCCTTCCTCCAAATGTATTCTTTCTCCATTTTATTTATCTCCAAGTGTGCCATGCAATGCAGTACTGAGGGCAGAATTCTGTTGTTTTGTTTTGTTTTTCTCTTACACTCTCATCCAATGCATTCTGCTAATTCCCTGACTAAATATTTTTGAAAGTCTACTTTTCATACGTATCATAATTATCCTAAGTCATCTCATTATCTCTTTTACAGACTATTGAGCAGAATAAATCTCTCTAATTTTGTTGTGCCAAATTTTTAGCATTTTATTTAAATGTCAACTCTGATCATATTTTTCTCTTAGTTTAAAGATCTGAAAGTGGAATCTCATAAACTATTGAATTAATTAACCCATGAACTACTTTCTATAGTCTTTCATTCATACTGTCTGTTTTCTCATGTCTTATTTTACACAAAGTTCACAATTTAAAAAAATTAGACAGTGTTTCCCCATATCACCATGCTGCTAAGTCTTGCTCTTGATTTTTTTTCTATCTGCCTACCCATCTTTTCACAGTGCACTGCATTCTGACTCATTTCTAAATCTTAGGCATCGCATCTCCCTGAATTTTTTCCTGTCATTCTAGTAAAGCTTAGAAAGTCCTTATATTTGTTACTGCATTAAAACAACACACATTGTTTATAAATGATCAATTTGCATTTTGTCTTCCCATGCTACACTGTAAATTTATGTGCTCCATATTAGTGCCCTATTAAGTATAAACTAAACACATAAATTCAGAAATTAGGGTCTCAAATGAGGAATCAATATTTAAAGTCATATAACTCGTTTCTTCACTGACTTCCCTTATTTATTCTACTGATCACTTGCAAATTAGGATCAAAAAGAGAAAAGTTAAGAACCAGATATATCTTACATCCATATTTTATTACAATATTGTTATCAATGCGGATACTTAAGTGTTATCTATAATAGATATTTTCTAATATAAAAAACAAAATTCCCTTTCTTACAATAAAAACACTTTTATGCTTTCATGAGCATTTTCAGACTCTGAAAATTGTATTTATTTTCCTCATGCTTAGTAAAATTTAAATTTTTAGGCTTTATCTTTATTTACTTATTTAGTTTTTGGTTTGGGGGCCAGCCCTGGTGGTGCTCAGGGCTTACTCCTGGGTCTGTGTTCAGGGGTCGGGGAGACTTATGGGGTGCCAGGAACTGACCAAGTGAATGTATGGCAAACACACTACCTGCTGTGCTATTGCTCTGGACCCCAGGATCATTTGTTTCATGCAAATTAAAGATTAGTAAGCACAAATTTATTCATGACTTTTTTTAAAAAAATTATGTACCTTTAGAAAAGAAAGATATACAATTTTTAGAAAGAAATTTATCTTATCAACATCATTGACTTACAGTTCTGTGGAATTTGAGGATTTCAACTCTATTCATCAATATGTGTATAGTCACTACCTCCACAATAATTTTTTAGAAAAATTTTAAAATCAAAAAAATTAAAAATGTATTTAAAACTTATTTAAAAATTATAAGTCTTTCACTTAAAACTTTTAAGCTTTTAAAATTAAAAAAATTAAAAAAATTTTAAAAAGTCTCTCTGTGGGATAAAAAATAAACATATTCTAGGATCAACAAATAATAAAATCGTCATAATGAGATTTTGTCTAAAGAACTGAGATGACATGGGAGGAGAGATGACTGGGAGAGGTCCTTGGGACACTGGTTGAAGGAAACAGAATTTAGTGATAGGTGAGGTGTTGAAACAATATATACATAAAAGTGAAAAATGGTTTTTGAAGATTTTAGCCAGGGGTAGGAAAAATAATATATGACATATTAAAATATTATGAATAAATAAATTTAATCATTAATTATCTAAAAATAATTTAGCAGTTTATTTAAAAGAACTCCATCTAACATCTGGATTAGAGTAATAATTATTTAAATAAATTTCAATCCACTCAGAAAAAACAGCTGAGCCAGGTTCGATTTCTCCACCCCTCTCAGAGAGCTTGGCAAGCTACCGAGAATATCTCGCCCTCATGTCAAAGCCTGGCAAGCTACCCGTGAGGTATTCAATATGCCAAACACAGTAACAACAAGTCTCTCAATGATGAATGTTCTACCAAGGATTCTCCTTTAGGGTCATTTCTTAGTGAAAGGCTTCTTACTCAGGTCTGTTGCTATGCTTTACCTCCTCTTATATATCATTAAATTCTTTGTTTTCTTTCTGTGACTGGAGACCTAAAGTCATTAATGCACATACTGTCCTTTTTCTCTCCTTCCACTGGAATGCAAGGTCTAGGAAAACAGGATTTCTGGGTTATTTATCTCTGTTTCCCCAAGACATGGAATACAATAGCTGCTCTGCTAATGTCTATTGAATGGTAATCCATAACCTCCATTTTGCTTGATGAAATTAACCATTTTATTCAAATACTATTAGTACCTACAAGAGAGTAAAATTGGAGGAAGGTCATGGTTTCGAGGGGCAGGGGAGATGGCGAATTAGGGTGCAATCCCTGCACATGACCAACCTTGATTCATTTGTTTTTGTTCCGAGAATTGCCAGGTGAAGCCTGGCTTCCCCACCCCCAGCAGACTTCCCTATCACTCACTGAGCTTGCCACTCATCTGCCTACCCAGTTATATTCCTGGAGGCCCTCAGTCAACCCAAGCAGCACTTGGAAGCTCTCCCTCAAAGTGTTCATTCTTCTAAGAGTGAGCAAGTTGAATAATAATTAGACTTGCCACTATACTGTCTGTTGAGTACCAGGAACATGGTTGAAGTATTAAGCCTTAAGAACCATAGTACCTTGCAGGTTCGATGCATAGTTCTCCATTGATCAGTCTTGTATGTTTAGTCAACAAAAATATGCATGTTTCCTCAGCTGGCAAACTGAGATAACAGTGCCACTTTAATTATCTCATTGTCTTAATGACTTATCCAAAAGACATTACTGGGGCCAGAGATTTAGTACAGTGCTTGTATTAACCCCTGTTAAGATTTACTTCATATGCCTCCCACACAGACACACAACTACTGGCAGGAGTAATCTCTGAGCTCAGAGTCAGGAGTAAGCCCTGTGCACTGCTGGGTGTTCCCTTCCACAACAACAGAAAAAGAAACATTATTTCTGTGAAGCACATTGGCTTTGAAAACTTTCACTCAGATGTAATGGATTATCTAAATGCTCTATGTAGGAGACTACTATTGGGAATGTAATAACATATTTTCTGTTTTTTCAAAATTATCAAAAATTAGAAAAAGCCCAAATGTCCTTCCTGTGCTGAATGGATAAAACACTCGCTGCATATGCATACATAGAGGAAAAATTCTATACCTTTCACACAGAGTGAATTAACACTTCTGATATCCTTCTCTATGAAGGCAGTCCAGTCCTGACTAAAAAGTTAAGTTCGATTGGTACAACCTTCGTATCTGATGACTCTTTTCTCTTGCGGCATCACCAGTCTTTAGTACAAAAGTCCCAATTAATTACCACTTAATGAAGGTACTTTATGTTGAGAATTTTTATTGATGATGAGATTACATATATAAATATTATATAGAATATGATTTACTATTAATTATGAGAATGGTGAAAACAGAACCTTGATCATGGAAGGCAACAGTGAGATAACAGTGCCACTTTAATTATCATTATAATATATATATTATAATATATATAATTAACATTATAATGGCCAAAAATGTGAGTTCTAAACTGATACTTTCTATGTTCAAAATCTTTAATCAAACTTAATCTTTATAATTTTAGGCTTCCTCTGCCACAGGGTTGTTACTGCAATTAAATTTAGGTAAATTTCTAGTACCATCCCTGCTCATACTCACCAGGTACAGGGTATTCATTAAGTAATTTTAATTTAAATTGCATGCCTTCTTTTTTTTTTTTTTGCTTTTCGGGTCACACCTGGTAACGCACAGGGGTTACTCCTGGCTCATGCACTCTGGAATTACTCCTGGTGGTGCTCAGGGGACCATATGGGATGCTGTGAATAGAACCCAGGTCAGCTGCGTGCAAGGCAAATGCCCTACCCGCTGTACTATCTCTTCAGCCCCGAACTGCATGCCTTCTACTACTGACCATTAAAGACAATAAATTCACATATTACTATGCAGTGTAAATGAGTAGAGTGCATATGGTTCAACCAAGAATTCATTCAATCATTCCACATTATCTGTATCCCATAGCTGTCACCCAGCAAGTGTCCCAGGCCCGCCACTGCACTGAGAATAAGGAAACAGTGTCATGGCACAGGCCAGCCCTGTCTCTCCTCAGCCTGGCCAGTGAAGCACACAATCACATTTCTCTGTTTGCTCCTGTCCTTGTTCATGCTCACCAGGTACAAAGACAGGAGACTGGCCCAGCACAAGTCGGAAATAGAATGTTTCACCCCCAAAGGGAGTATGGGGAATGGTGGGAGAGCAACAATGAGCAGGTAAGCAAACTGTGATGGTCTGAGGCAGTGTGACCTAAATGTATGCGAGCTAGAGGAACAGGTGGCTCCCTGGCCCAGGTCCCCATCAACTGTGCATTTCATACAGTGTCCAGCCTGGGCCCCCACTGGTCTTCTGTGTGTGTCTTATTTGGAAGAACCATGCTATCCTTGTGTAAAGTCATGGGAGCCTCCTGTCCTACACGCTTCTGTTGCCCAAGGTGTGCGCTTTGCATGTCTGAAGCCTTAGCTCAGTTCTCCCACGGACTTATCCTTTCATAGGTCAAATTACTCTGGGGTTTGCCAAGTGGAAGATATTGGAGGAAATTGACATTCCAGGATTAACCAATCAGGTAAATAAAACAAATAAAACAATCTGAGAAGTAATTTTGAGGAAAGGATTGCAACTGAGGGACGGTGCCAGGCCCTGATCTCAGACAAGTCTGAGAATTATTCTGATTTCTTACATTAATCTGAATGTAAGGTCATTTTACAGCCTAGGGAAATTGCCATGTAAGACTAGTGAACTATAGGGGAAAGAGACTTATTTTTTGATTTTTTTGTAAACTGAAATCAGGAAATCTAGTCCTCCTCCGGCTACTGAGCTCTGCAGCTCTTCCCCTCCTCTGTGTGTGGTGGTGAATGTCTCTCTTGCTGTGCTGTGCATGTTCTTTCCTATCAGGCATCCCCTACTGAGTAGCGCCAAGTAATTTGGGGTATGTGGGGCTATAAGCATCAACTGAGCTGTGTTGCATGATTTGAACGTGCTTTATTGCATGGGATGGGATTTAATGGAAAGGTTCTGGACTTAAACACAGTCAAGATTAACATCAAGCAATTTCAGAATGTTCTTCGTTCCTTGAGTTGAGGGAATGTCTCACTATGTATTACTCCCCACCTCTAATCTGTTGTTTCAATCCACCTGTGTTATAAAAGTATCTAATGGAGTGCTTGCAGAGCAGTATGGATTATAGGAAAAGGGAAATCCAGAAATTGTGTGTGTGTGTGTGTGTGTGTGTGTGTGTATACATGTCATGACCCTGATTAGAGGATAAAGATAATTCTGTTGAATCCTGTTGAATTGAACTCAGACATGGTTTGTTTCTTCAATAGTGCATTCCTTCTGGTTTTTAAAAATGTCATAGTTTATCCAAAGCTCACTGTATAGTGCAAACTATAGGCAGTCACATTCACATTGTGTTTGTCAAAACGATTATGTAAACAGAACTTGCCTAACTTACAGCCTGAGCTAGTAACTGTCATCAAACATGTGACTAGAATCATCTACAAGTCCCAGAAACAGAGCAGTGATGTCAAAACATATACAAGTTATTTGGTGCCAACCTTTATACAGCTATCTTTGATCTCATAATATCTGGAAGATGCACTTCAAGAAATTATTTTATGGAAGAAAATGAACAGATACAACTGGGACTGCTGGTTTCCTTCCTTACACCTATGACAAAAGACATAATACCATCCTTGAAAATCAGTCAAAGCGCCCCTAAGATGAATGAACAAGGTGCAAATGACTTTATCAAATGACAAGTCAAAGGTTCTGTCCAGATTTGGAGCAATTGACTTAGACTAATGGTACCAAACCTAGAAAAACTGGCTGCTAACTAAAGAAAAAAATCTCAGATAATACAACCTAAGAATGTGTAGTGGAACAAGTTTCCTTAAGTTATTCTGCTAAATTCTGTCCATAAACTATTATTTTGAAACATTCTACTCATCTAGGAAAAGTCACAGAGCTACTCAAGCAAACATTAGGTCTTCATTCTGTCTTATCCTATTCTTGGGATTTTTTACAACTCTCATATCTGATCATGCCAGTGAATAAAAGTACTTGAAGATGTCTTGACTGGGAATCAGATTCAGGATAGTATAGAGGAAAAAGCTGGTGCACTGAGAGTCGTAAACAGACCAAGTTTCTTTTGATCAGAGCCAGAACCACAGAGGCAGGCACTCAACTTGTCAATTTTGGTAACAGTTCCAATTTTACAATAGCAATACACCACTTTGGGTTTTTTATTTTTTTCCTTTGGCTTTTTTGGGTCACACCGCAAGATGCACAGGGGTTACTACTGGCTCTGCACTCAGGAATTACTCCTGGCAGGGGACCATATGGGATGCTGGGAATCAAACCCTGGTTAGCCACATGCAAGGCAAACGCCCCACCCCTATACTATTGTTCCAGCCCCACCACTTTGGTGTTGTTTCCCCATTTGCTTAGATGTAGGCAAGATAACAGCAAAACTTATTACACTGATATGTCCTAGTGTGACAGAGAAAAATAATGCACGAGGCAATAAAGAAAGCGCTCTCTAAGCACTACCCCAGTCCCACAGAAAATCATAGGCATCTGCAGACAAGTGGAGTTTCCTTCTTTCTCTTCCTTCTCATTCATTATAACTGCATAAAAACAAAGAAAAGATGGTGTGTATAGGAAGAAAAGGCTATCCTATATCTAAGAAAACTCCTTGCTAGGAAATAGAAAAGTTCTGGAGGCATACTAAAGAAGAAGCCAAAATTTCCAAAGCCTTCCAATATTTATTTCTGACTTTATATTATTGCACAAGAAGAAATACACATACTTATCCAGAAAAAAAAGGTTTTTAAAAATTCCTAAAAGGAAAGATACCATAAGGAACACAGTTATATGTAAGCTGTTTCTAAATAAGGGGTGGAGAACAGTCAACACAATGGAGTTGTGGGCTGATCAAGAAAGAACAGCTCTAAGAGAATTCTTGTTATGTAGACTATCAATCCTTTTTCTTATAGCCAGTGCCAGTTGGAGTCTTCATTCTGTTGTGCTCATCTTGCACCCCATGATGGAAAGGCTTCCTACTCTCATTCTGAGAATGAGATTTTAGAAAAGTGAGCTATCTCTAGTTCCTCTTCAAAGCTCGAAAGAGTGGCACTGAATTAATTTTATTGTTGCTATGTCATAAAATCAATTATGTAAAGTATTAATCACTAAACCATTGAGTATAAAGAGCACACCCGTGGAGGAATGTGTGTTCACAGGCTCTCCGGGACGCTCTCTCTCACCACTTGTGTTCAGTGCTCTCGAGCCACTGTGTATGGACAGGATTGAGATGGCTGTAGGTGATGAGCAGGCAAAGGAAGAACAATAGTTTCTGTTTATTCAATCTCTCGGCTCTTCAATCTCACACATTCTTCCTTCCTTGCCCCTCATTCCTCGATCCCCACTCATCTCTCCATGCTTCATCTCGCAGCCTGAGTTCTACCTCTCCTCTTTTGATTCTGATCCCCTGCATCTCTCTCCACCTCTATTTATCTTTCTCCACCTTGCCTTCCTGGCCCATGCTCCACCCTGGAAGCAAAAACAACACAAGGAAGCCCTTCCTGACTGTCTGGGCAAAACACCTCTTAAGGTGTTTTTCTCCTCTAGTGATTTTTGTATGGACACAGTAAGAGATACGTTGAAGCTTGTAGGGAAGCTCTCCAGGGAACATCTTGCCTCAGACTCACACTATAGAGCTCAGAACAGATTAATCATTCCTAACCCTAGGGTCCAAATCTAGTTGTTACTTTTTGAATCATGACAGCATCTGTCCATGACCAAGCTCTTAACACAGTTAAGCTTTAGGGCACTTGGGCCAGGCCCATCTCCATGCCAGGGTAGCACATAGCTCACCACTTGCCCTGGGTCCATCTTCGGAACCCTACTTTTGGGGGTGCCAGGAAGCAAGGGCAGCTGAGGTTTAGGTGGAGACAATAGATGTCCAGGAGAAAAAATATTTAGAGTCAAATGACTCCCACATAACAAAAGCATAGCATTTACTACTGTCTTCCTGTGCCCAAAAGGACATTGCTCTGAATAAACTATACAAAAGACTTAAGGAGAAAAGAAAAACAATATTTACAAGTCAATGTAGCACAAAGAAAGAAGTTGCAAATAAACACAGAGGAAAGGAAGTACTGTGATGGGAGAAACCCAATAAAACTAAACTACCTGAGGTTATGCAGGAAGGACAAAACAATGTTATCCTACAATTGAGCAACATTTTTTTTTATCTTATTGGATCACATCCATCAAAGCACAGGGGTTACTCCTGGCTTTGCACTCGGGAATTACTCCTGGTAGTGTTCAGGGGACTATATGGGATGCTGGGAATCAAACCCGGGTCAATCGAGTGCAAGGCAAATGCCCTACCTGCCGTGCTATCACTCCAGCCCCACGATTTTCATTAGTAAATGCATTACCTAATTTTAGAGGACTTAAATGTTTAATAAAGCCTTAAATAATATCTATATAGTGAGGTCACAAAAGTCATTATGAAATTAGTAGAAACTCAGATTTTTAAATATAGGCCCAAACTGTGGTGTGCCGGGATTGTTTTGTCTTTAGTTCACTCAATTCATACTAATACTACTGATTTATGAAGCACTAATTTATGAGCCAGACTTGAGATAAATAATTGACCCAGAAATGTTCTAATAAAACATAGAAAGCTCTAATAAAAATTCTGAACACAAAAATATCTTATACCAGTTCTAGCTACAGTATTACCCCAAAGTACCCTTTTCCCTCTTTAATCTCCCTTTTCTGTAAAATAAGAAAAATAATATAGAACTTCCCATCATAAATACTATGAAAATGAGATGAGATTATGCACGTGCTTTACTTCTTCTGGCACCAATAAGAAATTCACTAAGTTTTGGTTAGTACAATTAGTCCAATACCCTTTGAAAGTTCTTTTTTGTATTCTTCTTCCCCACCATGACATTATGGTTGTCTTTTCAAAAATCAATCCAGGAAAAGTTAGTAAAATGAAATCTAGTGGAAATTACTTTACTTGATCTCTTGATCACTTGATATCCCGTTATTCACCAATTTGCTCGAATGGGCGCCAGTAACGTCTCCATTTGTCCCTTGTCACGTGCTAGTGTAGCCCAATGTCGTCTGCTTGCTACAGGAACACAAAAAGCCTCAAACTATTTGTTCAGGGTTTTGATGAAAAAGTCTGACCATC